AAACTTCCAAGGTGCCAGACAAGTGGAGAATTCAAAATATTTTTGCTAATGTTGATAAAGTAGATGACTCGGATGACTTTAACTACTAGGTAACAAACTTCCTACACGTTTTTTATAAATAAGTTCATAAATTATGTAAGTACTTTAATCAAGGAATCTTCAGTTGAGTTGCCAGTTGATGGATCAGTTTATGAAAATTAATTTTTATCCTGGATCGTGTCATTTTTGGCACATATAACTCAAAAGGAGTAAACAATTAAATGAAATTCCTATAAAATTTTTTCATTGACATGTAGTTATTTATGAGAACAAAGTTTCTCAGAAGTTAGATTTTTTAAAAAAAAACTTAGAAGATAATTTATACAGAACTCCATCCTTTCTTGCAAATATTATTCATCTATAGTTATCTGAATTAATTTTTAGCAATCTTTAATCAATCTTATTAGTAAATGAATTTTTGATAAATTTTACTTTTCACATATGATTATTTTGTAAACTAATATGTTTGTATGATTCAGATTAGTTGTGTAATACTAAAAATTTTAATAACACTGATCAGAAAATTAGACATTTGATTGCTGTTACCAGTCATAGACTAATGGCCACATAAAATCTTCAAAAATTAATTTTACTTTGTGAATCTATTTTTGTTACATAAAAGTATAATAGACTAATTATATTTTTGATTGACAAATAAAAATTGTATATACTTATGATATACAATATTATGTTTTGATATTTGCATACACTGGGGAATGACTAAATCAAGTTAATTAACATACCCATTAGCTCATACACTTATTTTTTGGTGATGAGAACATTTAAAATCTACTCTTAGCAATTTTCAAGTATACCATATATTGTTGTTAACTATAATCACTATGTTGTACAATAGATCTTCTGCACTTATTTCTCCCAAGGGAAATTTTATGTTCTCTGACCAACATTTATTTCTCCATTCTCCACCATTTTTTAAACATTTGAAGCATAACACATATAATATTTAGGTATAATTCTGTGAAAAAATGCAGTACAAACACAAAGTCAAGTTTAAAAAGGAAACTCCATAAAATTTCAGACTATAAGAGTTTGTTTACATAGTTTTGATATGATGGTGAGTATCTAATCAGTAAGGTGGATACATTTTTTAAAATTGTATTTTTATTTTTAAATTTATCCTATTTAATATATCCCTAAATTATATCCTTGAAACTATTTACAATTATGATTGAAACAATTTGGAACTTACTTAAAAATATGTGAGAGCATACATAAAATGTGGTTTTAAAACTTTCAATTGGAGTTACTCAAAGATAAAAGCTCAAAGTCCGTTGCTATACAGATCATTTCTGTAAATGACATATGATTTATTGCTACATAGGAAAAGAAGTAAACCATTTCATTTAAGAGCCTAAGCTCTATAATAAAACAGGTTTCTGTCCCAACCTNTAATCCTAACTTCGGGCTGGCCCGGTGGCACACTGGAGAGTGCACCGCTTGGGAGCATGGCAGGAGCCCGCCGAGGGTTCGGATCCCATGTGGTGACCGGTTCCCGCTCACTGGCTGAGTGTGGCACAGGCGCAACACCGAGGGTTGCAATCCCGTTACCGGTCAGTATAAAAAGACAAAAAGGAAAAAAAAAATAATAATAATAATAATCCTAACTTCATGAAATGAATCTGTCGTCCCCTGTTCAAATTCTAGTGGCTTCACTGTTTCTATCCTAACTTTGGTTTAGATCATAACCTTACTCAAACCTGATTGCTTGATATTTCTAAATTCTGAAATTCAATACTATGCCCTTAGCCATGTTCCCCCAACTTGATTCCTGCTTATGATTTAACTTTGTTACTTGAACTTCTTTGTCTGGTTCTAACTCTCACTTCTATTTATGTATTTTATGTTTTGCATGTATGTACTCTAAAAAGATATCTTGTCTACCTCTTCCCAAGGGGTACTAAG